GAACAGCTAACATGATCTGCCGGCCCCATAATCGCAATTCAATCACAGACGAGGCCCATGCTCGAGACATCCACGCGGCTTGCCCCCTTGGGGCGCTGAAGTGCATTGCCTGGTAAAGTTGTCCGATTACCCGCCTGGAGTACCAACATGGAAAGCAGGCCCCAGAGGGAAGGCACGCCCGCCTGAGATTCCCTCGCCATGCACTCACAGACGAGGCCCCCGCTCGCGACATCCTCACGATTTTCCCTCTTGGGGTGCTCAAGTGCTGGGCCTGATACATTTGTCCGATGGCCCGCTTCAACTACCAACATGGAATGCGAATCCCATAGGAAGGGGGCTCCCGCCTGAGACCTTCTCGCAACGCACTCACATACAAGGCCCCCGTTCGAGACATCCTCAAGATTTGCATCCTTGGGGTGCACAAATTATGATGCTCATGATGATGATGATGATGATGATGATGATGATGATGATGATGATGATGATGATGATGATGACGACGACGACGACGACGACGACGACCACGACGACGACGACGACGACGATAAGTATTATCACTATTGTTATTATTGTGATCGTGGTGAGCGTGAGAGGCGATGATGCAAGGTCGTGATAAGAGTGAGAGATGATGATCAAAGGATGGTGCGGGTGCGAGGACTGCGAGGGTGTACAGGGAAACAAGAACACCACTGAGGATGAGGGGATTATATCAAAAGGGACTGCTACATCGCGGTGAGCATTGTATGACCCCAAAAAATCAGGGGGGCATAAACAGGCAAACCGCGTGAGACATCCTCAAAATCTGCTCTGAAAGCAAAGGACGTTCGGCATCCAAACAAACAAATCGCCTGACTCCCCACAGCTTGGGCGCGAACGGAGGAATGAGATACCCCATGGCGGCTCCCCCTTGAAGTGGTGAAGCCAGCGCCTCGCCTGAGACATCCTCAAAATCTGTTCTTAAAGCAAATATGTTCGGCACCCAAACAAACGAATCGCCTGAGACATCCCCACAATCTGGGCGCGAACGGAGGAGGGAGATACCCCCACCTAGTGGATCTCCCTGGGAGTGCTGAAACTAGCGCCTCGCCAGAAACATCCTCACAGTCTGCCTGCGTGAATGAGCATGAGCATGCGCGAGTCTGAATCAAGAACTGATGTGACTGAGTCTGCATGAAGGTAAGAGTCAGTCTGAGCATGACTGAGTCTGAGGGAGGAAGTGAGGTGACTGAGTCAGAGTATGAATGACTCTGAGTGTGGGTCGATCTGGGCATCAGCAAATCTGAGTACGAGCGAGTCTGAGTATATGATTGAGTGAGTGCGAGCGCGAGTGTGAGCAGAGAAAGATGAGGAGGGAGGCTGGGAAGGAGGAGGGACCTGGCAGCGCCGACGCGGACGGAGTAGAAACAAAAACTCCATCTCGGGAAGAGGGGGCAAAGTGCCGATGCCGCTGCTCCCCAGAGGTCCGATGTCGTGATTTGTTCACAACGGGATCCCCGGAAGTCTCCACCCATTCTCCAGGACCGGCGTCTCATCCTGAGTCGTGTTTTGACGGTCCCAGGGCCCGGCGAGGGCCGCCAGAGGCCGAAAATTTAGAAAAACCTCCGCCTGGATTTTTTCGATACGCTGGATCTCTGGCAACCCGGGCCTCTCCCGGGGCGCGCTCCGACCACGACTCCGGGGCGCACCTCCGGCGGCGGCGACGACGGCCTCCCCGAAAGCCCGACAGGGCGCCGGCGAGGTGCTGGCACCGGAGTGGAGGAGGAGGAGGAGGAGGAGGAGGAGGAGGAGGAGGAGGAGGAGGAGGAGGAGGAGGAGGACAAGGAGGAGGAGGAGAGGAGGAGGAGGAGGAGGAGGAGGAGGAGGGGAGGAGGAGGAGGAGGAGAGGAGGAGGAGGGGAGGGGAGGAGGAGGAGGGAGGAGGAGAGGAGGAGGACGAGGAGGAGGACTAGGAGGAGGAATAGGAGAGGAGGAGGAGAGGAGGAGGAGGAGGACTAGGAGGGGAGGAGGAGAGGAGGAGGAGGAGGAGTTGAGGAGGCGGCGGGAGGAGGAGGAGGGTGAGAGAGGAGGAGGAGGAGGAGGAGGGAGGAGGGCGGGAGGGAGGGGGAGGACGGGGAGGAGGAGGAGAGGAGAAGGGGGAGGAGGAGGAGGAGGAGGAGGAGGAGGAGGAGGAGGAGGAGGAGGAGGAGGAGGACTAGGAGAAGGACTAGGAAGGAGGAGAAGGAGGAGGAGGAGGTGAATCTCCTCCAGGCCCCCATGATTTGCTGCTGAACCCTCCGAGCCTCCCCCTCTGGCCCCCAGCACTGCGCCCGCGGCGGCCGCGGCCGCCCGGAGCGGCACGCCCGCGGCGCGAGGGCGGCAGCTCGAGGGCTCTCGCCCGGCGCGGCGCCCCCGGGCCCCATGGCGCGGGGGGCCGCAGATTGAAAACAACACATCGGCGGATGTCTGGGGAGGAGGGAGGAGCGAGGAGAAGAGAGGGGAGGCCGAGGTGATGGTGCTGATGTCTGAAGCTGTGATCTGTCCTCCTCATCTCGGCCTCCCCTCGGGCGGCCGCGGCCGCCTGAGGGGAGGCCGAGATGAGGAGGAAAGAAGGAAGACCGGGAGGAGGCCACCACTGGGATTTCCTGTGATCTCCCTTCGGCGTCGGCGCTGCTGGCCTCTGAAGGCTGGCGGAAGCCACTGGCGCAAGGGCTGCGAACACAGCGGGAGAGCCGACAGTAATCCACTGGAGGCAACAGCTTGTGCCCCAGGGGGCTTGATATGTTCCGCGACCCACAATGATCACCCAGTCGTACTTTTCCTCCCTCCCCCCTCCTCTTGCCCCTCCTACAGAAATTCCTCCTAAACACCACCATCATCATCATCATCATCATCATCATCATCATCATCATCATCACCACCACCACCACCACCACCACCACTACCATCGTCATCCGCATCATCAGCATCATCAACAACAATAATGTTAAGACGGTTCGCTCTTATCTGATCGAATGTCATTAAACGTGTATTTCCCAAACCATCGATGCCCGACCTCTTCGTCTTCCATCGTGCCCCTTTTAGGAGGGATATCTTTCTTCCCTGCAGGCCGGGCCAGCGGCAATGCTGATCGGCGGCAACCCGACCCCAAAAGGGACGGACACGGGACCGACCTCGACGACGACGACGACGACGACGACGACGACGACGACGACGACGACGACGACGACGACGACGCCGGCGGCGAAGACGACGACGACGACGACGACGACGACGAAGAGCGAAAGCGAGAGCGAGAGCGAGAGCGGGGCCACGAAGGGCAGGAAGGGGGCCACGAAGGGCGACAGCGGGGTCACGAAGGGCATGCGTATGGGGCCACGAAGGGCGCGAACGAGCGGGGGCCACGAAGGGCAGATAATGCGGGGCCACAGAGGGCAACGACGGGTTCACTGAGGGTAGCAACGGGGCCACGTAGGACAGCGAGGGGGCCACAAAGGGCGACAGCGGGGCCACGAAGGGCATGCATTTGGGGCCACGACAGGCGCGAACGAGCGGGGGCCACGAAGGCCATGCGTATATTGATTGGGCCGCCGAGGGCAGCAACGAGGCCACGAAGGGCAGCGAGGGGGCCACGAAGGGCGACAGCGGGGCCACGAAGCGCATGCATATGGGGCCACGACGGGCGCGAACGAGCGGGGGCCAAGAAGAGTACATATATGAGGCCACGACGGGCAGCGAGGGGGCCACGAAGTGCTGCGACGGGGCCACGAAGGGCAGCAAGGGGGCCACGAGGTGATGCGACGGGGCCACGACGTGCAGCAAGGGGGCCACGGAGGACTGCAACGGGGCCACGAAGGGCAGCGAGGGGGCCACGAAGGGCTGCAACGGGGCCATGAAGGGCAGCGAGGGAGCCACGAAGGGCTGCGACGGGGCCACGAAAGGCAGCAAGGGAGCCACGAAGGGCTGCGACGGGGCCACGAAGGGCAGCGAGGGGGCCACGAAGGGCTGCGACGGGGCCACGAAAAACTGGAACGGGGCCACGAAGGGCAGCGAAGGGGCCACGAAGGGCTGCAACGGGTCCACGAAGGGCAGCGAGGGGGCCACAAACGGCTGCAACGGAAGGGCAGCGAGATCCCGATTCCTAAGTAAGCTGTGAGGGAGTCCTAAGTGGGAGCGCGACTCCTGGATACCTGAGTGTCGGGAGCGCGGCGCTTGAGTAAATCACGGGGAATTCCAACGCAAGAGCGCGATTCCTGAGTAAATTGCAAGCGTGTCTCCAACGAGAGCGCGACTCTTGAGCGCCGAGGGAGCGATTCCTGAATAAATTGAGATGGAGTCCCAAGCGAAAGCGCGATTCCTAAGTAAATCGCGAGGGAGTCTCAGGCCGGAGCGGGGGTCCTGGCTAAATGGTGCGGAAGTCTCAAGCGGGAGCCGTTGTTGTTGCAATCCGGGGGCCAACAACGCAGTTTGAGCCCCGTGACTTGCCGTGGTGAAAAACAAGGTGCGAGTCCCAGGGGAAGCACTTCAACTGAAAAAACACAATGGTCACTGGAGTGGGGATCAATAATACTTATTCTTCAATAGTGAGAATTCAGAAGCGACACCAATAACATTACTCTGACGGAAAAGCCCCACATGATGATCTCCTTAGTGAGAATCAGAATCACCCTCAGCGACGACCAGCGGTGGTGGTGATGCAAGGATGCGAGAATACCTGGATGCGCCGTGTGGGACATTTGACTCGCAGCCCGATGCCAGCCGCGCGGAAGAAGCTACATTGTCTCGCGCGGCCGGCCGCGCGCGCCTCGCGCCGCGCGGCGCTCGCGGAAGGCGCTGCTGAGCGCCTGGCTCCGCGAGGCGCGATAACGCATCGGGGATCGCGTTCGCAATGCCAGGGCGTGCTCGCAGACGTCGGGCCCGCGCGCGGTCTCGGCCGGGTCCAAGGCTACCTCGCAGGCTGCAAGGTTGGCGCCTTCGCCAACACTTCAGCACGTGATGGGCATCGCGAGGGCGCTGACCGAGTGCCCCGTCGCCAATCGGCAAGCCGAAATTCTCAACGTCTAACTGCGTCAGCGGGTCGGCGATGAACTCGTCGACGCGACCACTGACGAGGAGCATCGCTCCCGGCCCCAACGGGCCGGCGTCGGTGCCCGCGTCGATCTGGAGGCCGACGCCGCGGGAAGCGTCCGAATCAAAGACCCGCTCGATGACGCCGTGCCCGGCTCGGAGGACGCCGCCACCACCTCGACGCAATGGTGGGCCTGCTTTCCCCACATGCACCCTGGCGGGGACCTGCTCGTCGCGCGCTGCGGCGCGCCCCTGGATAACGCGCCCCGGAGGTGCCAGTGGAACGGCGTCAGAACGCACGCCAGGGAGGCGACGCGGGCGCACTTGGCCGCGCATATTCTATCGTTCGACTGCAAGCTGTCGCCCGACGCGGCGAGGACGTCCATCGCAATGGCCTTCTTGATTTTTACCCTGATCTCCACGCGGGCCCGCGGGACCCACGAGTCGGCCACCTGCGCCGACCGGCGGGGGAAGGTGCTCGGGGCCCACGCGACGCTGTCCCCAAACAGCCCCTTTTCGAAGCTCAGGGGGAAGCCGAGAGACAGCCAGCAGTAGACGACCAGCGCCACGCAGCAGGCTCTCTCACGCGGCGCGCCCGCGAGGGCCACGACAGGGTCGTCCACGCAACAGCTCAGGAGAGCCACATCCAGGACCAAGGCCCCCTGAGTGAGGAAGCGAACCAAAGCCGCAACCATCGCCCACAGCAGGGGCGCCCCGCGCGACCCCTGCGCGGCGCGCAGGATGGCGAACAATCGTCCGCGGAGTTCGGCGGCGAAGAAAAGCCTCTCGATTGGCAGGAGGAGGGTCTGCCAAAGGCTTCCGCGAAGTCCAGGACGAGGATCGAGGCCCTCGCCCCCCCGGCTGCACGGACAGCTCGAACGAGTCGAATGCGACCGTGGAGATCCGCGGGAGGATGGCCCTTTCAGATCCCTGCGAAGCTGCTGCCAGGCCGCCCCAGCGGCAGTTGAAGGCGATCCCCCACCTGATCTTGGCGAGGCGCTCCTCTTCGATCACCTCGACGCGGCCGAGGGCGGGGGGTTCCCCAAAAAACGTCAGCCTGGGTCGCGAAACCCACGACGCATCCCTTCTTCTCGTGCTCAGCGACCAGCTCGGCTGCCTCGTCGTCGTCCTCGACGTCCGCGGGGTTCCCGAAGCCCTCCTCGGTGGCGAGGCCCCCCGGGTCTTCGGCGTCGTCGAGGACCGCCGGGAGCGCGCTGCGAGGCAGCGAGGCCTCCCAGAAGCCCGTCGGCGCCCCCTCCCGGCACCGCCACGACGGCCGGTCGTCAGGATCGCCAGCAGCACGACGCCATGCGCCCAGCAGACCAGGGCGGACGATGGTGGCGAGGTGCCCGTCAGCCACTGACTCGCCGTCGTCCGCCTTGACGACCTGCGCGAGACGCCGACGCGCCCACTCGACCATCTCGTCGCTGGGCCACTGCGACGCGCCCCCCTGGCCAAGCGCCTCGCGCGCAGCCGAGGCCATGTCGGGGTGGCGGTCGGACATCTCGGATAGCGCCTCGCGCACCTCCGCGCCGACGGCGCCCAAGCTCGGCACTTTTCTGACCGAGTCCGCGGCTCGCTGCGGCCCGCCGAGGAGGACGTCCTACCCGACCATCCTCTGGTCAGCACGATCGGCTCCGCGGAGTTTCGTGGACCCTCTGATCGATGACGCGTTCGGGTAGGCACTCCTGGCGGTCGCAGACGGGGGGGCGCCGCGGCCCTCGCCGAGGCCCGCAGAAGCAGCGACGTCGGCCGGCCGCACGAGAGCGCTGCACCACATCCCGACGCGCGCCATGGGGCCCACCGCTCACCGAGAGGGCCGGGCGGCGCCGACAACGATCGCGGGCAGACGCAACAACCGCGCGTGCAATCCACGCGCTGAGCCTCGTTGGACACGCCATCGCCCCCCCGCCAGCGCGCACGCCCCAGCAGCAAGGGGGCCGGCGGTTGCGCTCGGTCGGCCTGCCAGCGGCAACCGCGCCGAAGAACGCGAACAGCGTCGGCCTCGCCGAAGACGCCCCAAATCGGCATTGGTCGATCCGTTTCCAGACCGCCCCCAGGGAAGACAGGACCTCGGAAAGCTCGTCCAGCTCGACGGCGATGGCGCGCCGCCCAGCGGCACCGTCGCCTCGCGGAAGCACGGCTGACCGCGCTCCACGGCGCAGCGCAAACCTGCCGCCGCACGGAGAGCCAGCAGCGCATTCTCGCGGAGACGTTTCCTGTCCTTCTGGCTGACGCCCCGAGCCCGCACCGCCCCGGGCCCGACTCGGACCGGAGGGCGAGCTCTGTGACGAACGTCGCGCGGGGAGGTGCCCACGCCGACGCCCGGTAGACGTCGCCCTCGAGCTCCCGCGCGATGCCCTCGCAGATGTTCTGGTCGGAGACGTCGTGGAGATCGGAGTCGGTCGAGCGGCCCGGCACGCGGGCTTCCCCGCCGAATTCGTCGACGCGCCGGGCGAGCTCGGCATGCCTGCACGAGCCAGCGAACGACAGCTGCACGCGCACCCCGCCGACGCCCTGGTGCGCGCGCGGAAACTTCGGCGCAGGAGAGCGCACTCGCTGCTCTCGAGGACCCAACTCGGCCGCGGCGGCGCTAGCTCCCGCAGCATTCGCCGCGGCTGCCGCGGGGGGCCCTGCCCCAGCGATGGCGCCGATGCCGCTGACGATCTGGGGATCCTCGCTGCGGCTTCTCTTCCCCATTCGGACCGGCGGTCGAGCGGTTGCGAGCTGGGGGCCCTCGCTGCCGCTCCGCCCCCCCTTTCAAGAAGGGGCGCGGCCCGCCGCCCCTGCCGCCGCGGTGGCGGCCCTTCCTGCCGCCTTTGCCAGGGTCTCTAGGCGCGGCGACGTCGTGGCTACACGCTGACGCGATGCGAGCTGGCGAGAAGCACTCCCCGCACTCGCGCATGCTCGAGTTGCCCCTGGCGCAGACCATCGCGCCGCGCAGCGCATGGGCGCACGCGCCCGTCTGGAACAAACGGCACTGGGACTTGATGCCCCGGCTCGCCTTGAGAAGGCCGCCCTCACCAACGTTGCGCTGGCGGGGGCCCTCTGGGCGGCGACCGGCGCCCTGGCCAGCTGGCGGCGGGCCCCCCCCGCGGCTGGGTCGCCGGCCTCCGGCCGCCTGGCTGCGCGATGGGCGCCGCGGCTACGCGGGCAACCTGCGCGGCGCCCTGCACCGTAGCACCCGAACCAGGATGACGGGCTCGACCAGCTGCCACTGCCAGAAGCACTCGCACGGGTCCACCGCCATGGCCCAGAAATGCTCCCACATATGAGCTCCCCGGTGATACCGCGGTTGGCCGCGGCCACGGGGCCCGCGTCATTCTGCTCGAGCGCGAGGCGCCGAGGGGCCTGCACGTGCCCGTGGTGCATCCGCACGTCCGCCTGGCACATGATGGACCAGACCGCGGACGAGAGGCGAGAGGCGCCGTCGAAGATGCGCTGCTGGCACCGCTGGATGCGAGCGGGCGCGACGGCCTTGAGCATTATGAGGCCCGCGCCCAGAAGGCGGCACGCGGCCGCCCAATCCTCGAGCGTCGGCGGCCCCAGCAACTCGACGGACTGGAACACGCCATCGGCGCTCAAGATGAGGCAGCTGAACTTGAGCTTTCTGGGGCTCCGCAGCTGGCGCGGCCCGAAGAGCGGGAAGTCCACGCACGGAGGCGCGCCGGACCTCAGCAGGTGCGTCGCACCTATCAGTTGTTCTGCGTCAGGCTCCTCCTCCTCCGTCGGCATGGCCCCCATGCGCCTCTTGCATTCCACGAAGCAGTCCTGGATCTCTTTGTCGCTCAGCGAGGTTACCTCCCTGGAGAGCGCCTGGTCCACGACCAGGTCGAGCCTGACGGTGTTGCCCCGGGGATCCTGAATCTGCTGGAGTTGCTACTGGAACAGCTGATGTTGCTGGGCGACGCTGATATGGGTGCCGCTCATGACCGCGGCAATGCGCCACGCGTTGCGAAGCCTGCCTGTGTTGGTAGGAGAAGCCGCGTGGGTTGTGGCGGCGTCGAAATTAGTTACCCACGAGTCCAGCGACGCATTGAAGTTGGACTCCTGGATGTTCGCCAGGTCGCGCAAGGGGTCGCCTGGCTCGATCCCCAGCAGCTGCACGGCTGACTCCTTCTCGGGGCCGTCCGTGCTCGTAAGACCAAGCCACACGAACAAATCGTCGATGTTGTGGATGGCCGAGCGCTCCTCGTCGGTCGGATCCAACGCCCCGCAGCTGAACCTGACGAAAGCAGGCTCCAAACGTGGCCAACTCTAGCAAGGGGCAGGCTGAATCGGGGTAGGCTCGAGCCAACATGGTACGGACCAGAGGTCAGTGCCAAGGCCAAGCCGCCCTAAGACAACTGTCCCGCCGGACCACCCTGTGATCTCAGTAACACTGCGACTCCCACATGCCATGTTCCTGTAGAAGAACGAACCACCCCAGTGCCCCCATCCCCGCAGGCGGAAGTACAATTGTAGGGGGGAGGTTTGGACCGCGCGCCTGCTGATGCGGCTGGGGTTGGGCGCGGAAGAGCCTTCATTTGTCTTTCGAATGGTGTTGGTGCCTTGGTGTGGCGTTGGGAGAAATACGTCCGAGCCTGTAGCGACATGGGTAATCGGCATATCATATTTCTAACGGCAAATTGCATAGTCATCATAGCACTGCGCATGAGCATGATAAAAATAACCACCATCGTCATCACCATCAGCATCACAACCATCACCATCATCATCATCATCATCATCAGCAGCATCATCAGCATCATTATCATCAGCGTCATCACCATCACCATCACCATCACCATCACCATCACCATCATCATCATCATCATCATCATCATCATCATCATCTGCAGCAGAATATTCATCATCATCACCATCATCAATACCATCATCACCATCACCATCACAAGCATCATCGCAAACCATCCGCATCATCGTCATCAGATTCATCATCGTCGTCATCATCAGAATCGTCGTCATCAGCACTGTCATCATCATTATCAGCATCATCAGCATCATCATCGTCGTCATCGTCATCGTCAGTGTCAGCAACAGCAGCTGTACCACTATCACCATTATCATCGTCGTCGTAATCATCGTCATCAGCACCATAATCATAACGTGGTCCACATCGTCATAATCATCATTATCATCATCAGCAGCAGCATCAGCATCATCATTCTCATCACCATCGCCATCATCAACTACAGCGGCATCACAGCAGATTTCAAGATCTTCGACATCACCACCATCCTAATCCTCAATATCATCGTTATCGTCCGCATCACCGCCATTATCACCACCGTTGTCGCCATCAGAAGCAGCAGCAACATAATCGCGATATTCGCTGCCGCCAGCATCGTCAGCAGCATCGTCGTCAATCTCAACATCATAACCAACGCCATTACCATCATTAACGTAGTTCCTGGCTCTGGCTGGCGCCCGTGGGACCCACGGCGGCCCCGAGGATGGCGGGAACCATGATTTTGGAGAGATCCAGGCCGGAAAAGCCTGAAATCGTGGTTCCCAGCTCTGGCTGGCGCCCCTGGGACCCCCGGCGGCCCGAGATGGCGGGAACCATGATTTTGGAGAGATCAGGCCGGAAAAGCCCGAAATCGTGGTTCCCAGCTCTGGCTGGCGCCCCTGGGGCCCACGGCGGCCCCGAGGATGGCGGGAACCATGATTTTGGAGAGATCCAGGCCGGAAAAGCCCGAAATCGTGGTTCCCAGCTCTGGCTGGCGCCCCTGGGACCCACGGCGGCCCCGAGGATGGCGGGAACCATGATTTTGGAGAGATCCAGGCCGGAAAAGCCCGAAATCGTGGTTCCCAGCTCTGGCTGGCGCCCCGTGGGACCCACGGCGGCCCCGAGGATGGCGGGAACCATGATTTTGGAGAGATCCAGGCCGGAAAAGCCCGAAATCGTGGTTCCCGCTCTGGCTGGCGCCCCTGGGACCCACGGCGGCCCGAGGATGGCGGGAACCATGATTTTGGAGAGATCCAGGCCGGAAAAGCCCGAAATCGTGGTTCCCGGCTCTGGCTGGCGCCCGTGGGGACCCACGGCGGCCCCGAGGATGGCGGGAACCATGATTTTTGCTAGTTCTCTGCTGTCTCTCTGCTGCTCTCTGCTGCTCTCTGCTGTTCTCTGCTGTCTCTGTTCTCTGCTGTTCTCTGCTGTTCTCTGCTGCTGCTGCTGCTCTCTGCTGCTCTCTGCTGTTCTCTGCTGTTCTGCTGCTCTCTGCTGTCTCTGCTGCTCTCTGCTGTTCTCTGCTGTCTCTGCTGCTCTCTCTGCTGCTCTCTGCTGCTCTCTGCTGTTCTCTGCTGTTCTGCTGCTGCTCTCTGCTGCTCTCTGCTGTTCTCTGCTGCTCTCTGCTGCTCTCTGCTGTCTCTGCTGCTGCTCTCTGCTGTTCTCTGCTGTTCTCTGCTGTTCTGCTGTGGTTATGCTGCTGTCTGCTGCTTATGATGATCTGCCCCGCCAACCTGCTGTTTCTGACTGCTGCTCTCTGTCTGTTCTGCTGTGCCTTGCGGCCCCTCTCTTCGTTCTGACTGCACTGCGCCGTGTGTTCGCTGGCTTCTGCTGTTCTGCTCGATGCTATCATGCTGTTCTGCTGCTGCTCTCTGCTGTTCTGCTGCTGCTCTCTGCTGTTCTGCTGCTGCTCTCTGCTGTTCTGCTGCTGCTCTCTGCTGTTCTGCTGCTGCTCTCTGCTGTTCTGCTGCTGCTCTCTGCTGTTCTGCTGCTGCTCTCTGCTGTTCTGCTGCTGCTCTCTGCTGCTCTCTGCTGTTCTGCTGCTGCTGCTGTCTGCTGTTCTGCTGCTGCTCTCTGCTGTTCTGCTGCTGTTCTCTGCTGTTCTGCTGCTGCTCTCTGCTGTTCTGCTGCTGCTCTCTGCTGTTCTGCTGCTGCTCTCTGCTGTTCTGCTGCTGCTCTCTGCTGCTCTCTGCTGCTCTGGATTGGTTTTCGCTCGGTTGGTTTTCGCTTGAACGGATTACCTTTTCGCTCGAACGAGCGTCTTTTCGCTTGAACAATCCACCCTCGAGATCGATAGTGAGATCGATAGCGAGATCGATGGTGAGATCGATAGTGAGACCGAATGTGAGACCGAATGTGAGATCGACTGTGAGATCGATTGTGAGATCGATAGTGAGATCGACGGTGAGACCGAATGTGAGACCTAATGTGAGATCGATTGTGAGATCGATTGTGAGATCGACTGTGAGATCGATTGTGAGACCGATAGTGTGATCGATTGTGAGATCGATAGTGAGATCGATAGTGAGACCGAATGTGAGACCGAATGTGAGATCGACTGTGAGATCGACTGTGAGATCGATTGTGAGATCGATTGTGAGATCGACAGTGAGACCGAATGTGAGACCGAATGTGAGATCGATTGTGAGATCGATTGTGAGATCGATAGTAGATCGATAGCGAGATCGATAGTGATATCGATAATGAGATCGAATGTGAGATCGATAGCGAGATCGATTGAGTGAGACGTTGGTTCCCCCTCCCCCCTCAACACCTTATCACCCGCAGGGTGGTCGTATAGGTGTATATATATATATATACATACATACTGACGCATGCCCATATCTATGTGCGTGTGTACACTAGCCTTCCTGGCGCTCACGTCCCTTATATCTCTCTGTCCATTGGAAGGAAGGAAGGCGGAGAGATGGAAAGGGCGGGCAAGCTGGGTGCGCTCCCACCACATCGCACATCCAATCCCTCTTGCCCCTCCCGTCCCATTGCGTTGAACCATGTTCACTACGCCAGCTTGGGTACTCTAGAAGACATTGGTCCCCGAATTGCAGCTGCAAGCGTTTACAAATCGTTTGAGGTGCAATTGTGTGCCGCGCAAGCTGGAGAAGGAGGCAATATCATCATCACCAGCATCAGCATCAGCATCAGCATCAGCATCAGCATCAGCATTAGCATCATCATCATCATCATCATCATCATCATCATCATCATCATCATCATCATCATCATCATCATCATCATCATCATCATCATCATTATCATCAGCATCACAATCATCATCGTCGTCATCATCATCGTCATCGTCATCATTATCATCATAATCACCGTCATCAGCAGTGGCATCATCATCATCATCATCATCATCATCATCATCATCATCATCATCATCATCACCGTCGTCGTCGCATCAGCATTGTCATCATAGAGAGAGCGTGATCCACCGCCGCTTTAGTGTGGAAAATTCCACCCCTCTTCTTCCGGAACCCGGGGTTCCCCCCCCTCCGAAAATCCCCCCCCCCTGCTGAAAGCCCCCCCCCCCCCTTCCCTCGGCAAAACCACCCCCATCCCCTAACGCCCCCCCCTCCCCTCCGGAAAACCGGGGGGGGTCACTACCTGTTCGAACCCCCCCCCCTCCCCTCGTCACTACCGGTTCGAACCCCCCGCCCCTCGAAAACAGGGGGTGGGGTCACTACCTGTTCGAACCCCCCCCTCCCCCTCGAAAACCGAGGGGGGGTCACTACCGGTTCGAACACATCCCCCCGCCCCCTCACGCTCACCGCCAGCAAAAGACTCCCGGTCCCTACCACCGTCCGCACCACATCCCCCACTGCTGTCCCCAGCACCACTGTCCTCACCACCAGTCTCCACTGATTCCACCACCGTCCCTACTGTCCCCACCAGTGCCCCCACCACGGTCGCACTGTCCCCACTGTCCCCACCACTGTTCCCACCACGGTTCCACTCTGTTCCACTCTCCCCACTTTCTCCACGGCCCCAGCCACTGCCCCGACTGTCCCCACTGTCCCACTATCTCCTCCGCTGTCCCACTGAGCTGTCCCACCACTGTTCCCACCACTGTCCCCACTGTCCCCAACACTGTCCTCACTGTACCTCTGTCCCATTGTCCCACCGCCGTCCTCGCCACCGCCCTCACCACTGTCCCCATCACCACTGTACCCTCCACTGTCCCACTGTTTCCGCCACATTCCCACTGTCCCCACACCACTGTCCCCACCACCACCGTCCCCACCACTGTCCCACTGTCCCCACTGTTCCCACCATTGTCCCCGCTGTCCCCACCAGTGCCCCCACCAGTGTGTCAATGTCCCCACTCTCTCTGGCGGCGAAGAAGGGGGTGGGGGGTTCGAACCGGTAGTGACCTCCCCCCGGTTTTCGAGGGGGGGGGGGTTCGAACCGGTAGTGACCCCCCCCCGTTTTCGAGGGGAGGCGGGAGGGGGGGAGGTTCGAACCGGTAGTGACCCCCCCCCTTTTCATGATGGACTGGGGGGGGGGAGGGGTTCGAACCGGTAATGACCCCCCCCCCCCAGTTTTCGGTTTTCCGGAAGGGGGGGGGTTCGAACCGGCAGTGACCCCTCCCGGTTTTCCGCCAGCAGCGTAAAACACGCTCTTTTTCATCATAAGCATCATCAGTATCACCATCAGCAGCAGCACCATCGTCACCAGCATCACCAATATCAGCCGCAGCAGCATCAGCAGCATCAGCGTCATCATCAGCATCGGCATCACCAGCATGATCATCAGCATCATTATCAGCATCATCATTAACGTCATCACCATCACCATCATCCTACAATTCCTTCTCGTCATCCCCCTGCTCTCCCTCGTCCTCTTCCGCTTCCTCCGTTTCCTCCTCATCCTTCTCCTTCTCCTTCTCCTCCTCCTCATCCTCCTCCCCCTCCTCCTCCTCCTCCTCCTTCTCTTCTTCCTTGTCTTCCTCCTCC